CAAATTAGCGGTTATTATGACTACTGTTCTTGTTGTTATTGCTATATAACAATGATTATTATTATTATTATTATTATTATTATTATTATTATTATAAGTGTCTCATATATAGAAAGTATTCAGTAGACATTAATATCCATCTCTTCTCATTTGTGCAGGACATTCTGAGAGCAACATGGTTTGTGGGCTTTAATGCAATCCTGGGCACTGAAACTGGGCAGGCAATGAACAATGCTCTGGACTCTGATGCACCCATCTGTTCACAACGGGGCATCTGTCCTGTCTACCTCTGTGTGCTAAGTAAAGGAATTAAAGGGTAGCCATTGGCAGCCATGCTACAGGAGACCACACAAGAGCTGGTCTGGGCCATGTGAGGAGATAAAGTTTCTTAGAATTTTACAAACTACCAAATATACTGCATCTTCTCCAAGTGCTTTCTTAGAACAAAACTGCTTGAGAGAGTAATTGATATAGGAAAAGACATAATTTTTTTTTTGAGACAAAGTCTTACTGTGTAGTCCTGACTAGACTGGAATTCAATCTGTAGACCAGGCTGGTCTCGAACTCACAGAGACCCACCTGCCTCTGCCTCCTGAGTGCTGGGATCAAAAACTGTGCACTGTGCAGTATCTTTTAAAAGACTACAGATGAGGTCTGCACCATTGTGGTGTTTACCAAAGGCAGTGATCTAATTGGTTCTTATAAACCAGGGGCAGGCCCATGGATAAACAGGCAATTAGTAAAATAGATAGGATTATCTCTTTTTAAATTCTTCCCATTGCCCGGAAGGGTTTTTCTGTGGCATCCTGTACTGTGGCTAGCCTGGAATTCTTTATTTACTGCACAACATACAAGAGAAATTACAAGACTGTTGAAATGTGAGCTTCTAGTGTGGGCAGAGCTTGAACAGGAACGCTTCACATTTTAAACCTGTCTGCAAGTTGCATAAAAGACAAAGGGTAATATTTCAGAAGAAAATATCCGAAATGCCATCTGATGGATGCAACACTTCCAGCCTCGAAAACAAACCTTTGTGAGGGAAACACAATGGGCAAGTAAGAAGGAGGCTACAGATAGGATATAGGCAGAAAAAAAAAAAACCTACCTATCCAAACAAGAAGAATAATATTGGGAAAACTGTTCCAAAGGCTCTAGCTTGTGTCTAAGGCATAGCAAGATTCAAAGTCCACAGTCATGAAAGAAAAAGTGGGGCTTAAAAATATGGAAAAGCTGACAGACATTCCTAAATGTCCCCAGGCTTAGAAAGAGGCTGCCTTTGAGGATGTTGGACAAACCCCAAAGAGAGCCCCAGCAGGCACCTTCAGCATCTGAACTAACCTCACCCCATGGCCCAGTTAACCATCCCGACTCCGGGCAGAGCACTCCAGAGGGCAGGCAGAGATTGCACAGTCCGGATAATTTTCCAGCTGCTGCCTGTGCCCCAGTCTCCTTGGCTCAGGACTTGATCCCTGATAAGAGTTCAGAGACCTTTCTACGGGCAGTCCAGCGAATGCTTTCAATCGCTCTCACCTTTGTGCGGGCGACCTGCAGCACAAAGGGTCTGCCAGCAAAGAGGGACAGGGAGGCAGGGCATCGGGGCATTGTGACTGAGCAAGAAGAGGACGCACCTGCTCACTGGAAGATGCCAATGCTGACGGCAAGCAGTGCCTTTTCACGATTCCCTCTGAAGATTAGCCAGCATGCTTTGAATAATAATGTGTTATGCCGAGAACGTGTATATGGGTTGTTTTTGTGTGTGTGTGTGTGTGTGTGTGCAGACACGCAATAAATGCTAGCTCCATGAAAGATGATTACTGATGCTTCTGATCTTTTACTATACACTAAACATTGTTCTTAGGTCCACTGTGCTATTTAATTTCTATTGCCACACTATGAGGGCAAGGGTCAATATCCTCGGGTGAGGAAGAAGGTTGAAAAACTCTTTTTAGGGCTAATGAGGAGAGCAGGGGTTCAAACTATTCAAGCCAATTCTAGTTTAACCAGTACATGTGTGTACTAACATGAACAATGTTCTCTTTGGGTCTCTCTCTCTCTCTCTCTCTCTCTCTCTCTCACACACACACACACACACACAAACACACACACACAGAGAGAGACAGAGACAGAGACAGAGACAGAGAGAGACATATTCACATACAAATACATATACACACTCACACAGACAGACACACATTCACACATATATGCACATAGAGACACACACATGCGCCAGCATTCTAGTCCCATACCAGGGAAGCCAGAACCCCCGATTTCAAGTGTCTATTCTTCTGGTTTAACATAGTCCATGCACACAAAATTTGAACCAAGGAATAAAATGTAGCAGTTTCTCTTCAGAGGGAAAACAAGTGGAAAGGAAACGGAACCTTTAAGTGTGGAACGTTTGTCAAAGACGGTGATGAGGAGCCAAGAAAGTTCCATATCTCAAAGATACTGACAGCAAAACTGAAGTCTCCTAAAGCCCAAAAGAACTGCTTTGAGTTCAATCATTTTCTTCCTTTGGTTTTTCAAGATGGCGTTTCTCTGTGTTGCTTTGGAGCCTGTCCTGGAACTAGTTCTTGTAGACAGGCTGGCCTCAAACTCGCAGAGATTCACCTGCCTCTGCCTCCCGAGTGCTGGGATTAAAGGCGTGTGCCACCACCGCCCAGTGGGTTCAATAAAATTTTGCACATTCACAAAGAACTCATTTCTACTTTCTGACGCTGATCACCTAAAACCTCAGGGTAGAAAAACAGGTTCAGGGCTGCAATGGTTGTTTACTGGTCTCCCACCTGTTGCCCATTCATGTGTCCCAACCCCGTGTTCCTCTGGGCTGCATATTTCAAACCTGAAGAAAGTGTCTGAGGTGTGTGCTAGGATGCTGGGCATTAAACTGCCTGGTAGAACACAGCAGACACCCAACGAAGGTCTATCATAGTCCAGAGGGGAAGATATGGCAAGCCTATTTCAAACCCCAGCTTTACTTGAAGAGAAGCACATTGAAATATTTGTGTAGGCAATGACGTACATGTGATAAAATGAGAATAGAAGGCCAAGTGTATGTGTCTAAAATAAAACCCAAACTTCAGATTTAAAATGGCCCACTTTGGGGTCACACACCTGGTCACTGAGGTCTCCCTCCCCCGAGGTTTTCACAGCTTCCTGAAAGATGTACATGATTCAATGGAAGCATAGGTGCCCGTATTTGCCCCGCATCATGGACCACTGGGATTAACAATTAGAGAGGAACCAGATCGAGGTGGATTGTTATCTTTATGTCACTTTAGACAGCAATGATTCATCTTTTTAGCTTCAAGTTCATTAAGAGTTTATCAGCCTGGCGGGCCCTTAGGGATCACAGCAGTTGAAGAGCCGTCTTCCCTCTACTCCTTGTGACAGATACGCTATGGTCTGCATTTTACTCAATGGTTCGATCCCAAAACAAAGACATTTTTCTAGAATTTTTTACTTAACCAATTAGAATAATAATAAAATACTAATAATAACTTTTGGGAGATTGCCTTTGTGTTCTACCACTCCAAACTCTGTCCTCGCATATAACTATCCTGCAAAATTATTTTGATAACCAACACACATCAAATGAGCAAATGTAAGCCCTCCTCCTGACAGCAGGAAATGAACCCACCTAGCGCTCTAGAGTGCAATGGAGCTGGCCTTCCCTTCCTTCTGAGTGGATCAATATCCAAGATGGTGTTGCCACAGGCAAGCAGAGAGGTAACTCTGAAAAACTTTTAACTTATTGATTCTGAACCTTACTTTAGAAAACAAATGAATGTCCAGTACGCCTTGTGGGTCCTCCAGGACATTTATAAATAGAAAGTCTTTGTCAGCCTTGACAAATTGGCTAGAGGACCTGTCCAGCTACCCAAGCAGAAGGGACCACATACCCTTGACAAGATTCTAGGCACAGTCACAGTGTGGGCATCCAGGGGCCTTCAGTTCATAATTTGCCTTATTAAACCTTAGAGAAAGGCTCCGTTATTTTTTTTCCACTGCACCCTTTTGTTAAGATATGACTTGATCCGAAAAAGAAAATATCTATGAAATGCTCAGAGAACACAAAGCAAAATGCCAGTCAAACCCCGGGGTAAGGGTAGCGTGTGAGCAGGTACTAACTCCAGGGGAAACAGCTCTGAAAAACTGACATCACTAGTTGTAGGAACGTTTCCTTCCTAGTGAGTAATGTTCTCACTGGAGCTATCTGACACAGTTCAGAACTTCAGTCCTCCCACCAGCAATGAGACAGTGTTAGCCTCATCTGCCCCAGGTGACTCGGATATAAAGATCTAACCTTTCTTAGAAATGCAATCGGCATGGATGGAAATTGATGTTATTTCTCCAAACTTCACCAGTCACGGGGGAATGCCCTCTGTCTGCTCCTGCGCAGGGTGAATGCCTTGTTCCGCAAGATCCCGTTTGCCTGAACTTAGAGAAGTCCCATGATCAAAGATCAACCTGTGATTTGCTTTGTTATGCTCGCTTGACTAAGTGAGCCTCACTCAGTATGGAAGGGGGCGCATACTTCCCACTTACGAAATCATAGTCAAGTGATAAGAACAGTCAAATTTAACCTCACTGCCTCATTCTCGTCGATCAATCAATAGCGCACATTATGTAGAGATAGGCATATGCGATGGAAATTTTTACTCCACACATTTAGTTTCTAATAACCCAAGAGATATCATAAAAACGCTTTGCAATTCTTCCACTATGTTCTGTTTAGGTGGTGGTTGGATGGAAGCAGACCAGTTCCATGCCGTGTAGAAGGGGGCACCCATTTGAGTTGACAAAACCCACCACAGTAATCCTTAAAAGTGAAATTTCCGTATCCTGTAATCAGGAGTTGCCAGGCATTTGATTAAATACCCCAGGCATTTGATCCCCAACCTACTTCCATTTCTTCCCCTGACCGGCACGCCAGAAAAATTAAATCAAAAACCTGAAGAAACAAAATGTGTATTTTAATACAGAAATGCTTTTACCTGCCATCCTGCTGTGAATGAAATGGGCCGAGCTCTCGAAAGGTTCGTCAGCTTAACTCGCAGTTGGTGGCACTGTGAAAATGTAGCCAGGCAGCCTTATTGTGGCTTCTGTCCTTTAGCTGCCAAGCGGAATACAATAGAAGCTTCAAAGAGAAACGGAAGAGAGGGGAGTCCAGAAAGAGCCCCGAGGAGGATGAGGAGCAAACAAAGGAAAAGTTTCTAAGTCAGGGACATTGTGTTCTGCCATTTGCGCTCCTCGGATAGCTTGCACACTAAAGATGAGCGTGTCTCAGTGAGTTGCCACTTCCCCCAAATTGTTTAGGAAATAGTCACCTTGAAAAACTTACAAGACATGCTTAACTTTAATCTAGAAGAGAAATGGCTGCATCGTACTGCTTGGATAGATAGATAGATAGATAGATAGATAGATAGATAGATAGATAGACAGACAGACAGAAATACTCAATATCTTATGAGATTGACAAATATTAAATATCTTATGAGATTGTTTTTGATAAACATGAAAAAAAATGCTTTCCTTCTGGTCCATACAATACATATGCCAGGTGAAGAGAGGTAGATGCTGGGGCTTTCTGGATTGTGTGCACGGGATCTAGGACTGTATCCATGGCTGATTCTTGCATCATCTCACCGTTGGTGACTGTCATTTTCTTCTCATAAAGACACTCCATTATTACAACAGTGTGCATGTGGTTATCACTCATCGCAAAAAAAACCCTCAAATCTTTATTTCCCATTTAACCACAGAGCACTTGAAAAAAAATGCAATTGTCTTTGTTCACCACAAAGAATTTAGGCACCACTCATTAAACCTGAGCAAGAAACAGAAAATAGCATGCCCTATCCCCAAAGAGCTATAATGTCTACCATTTACACTTTACTTATTTACCTGCATGATATTCTGAGTCATAATCTAAAGACGATGGAGAAGATAAAAACCATTTGATTTATATATAAACATATTCATTAAATAGACTAGTTTTAGCCATCTCCAAAGAGTCGCAGTGCAGACAGGGAAGAGGGGGCTTGATGGGACAGCATTGAAAGCAACTGCAGTTTCAGAGCACTTGATAAAAATCTTACCACATTGAACGGGAAATCCAAAGAGTTTCACTTCCAGTTATTTTATGTATAATTCTGGGCTCTTCACATCGGTTGTCTTGCACAGAGCAGGGATGTCAGGCACAGCCAGAGTCAGGACACTGTCTAGTTGGCCTGAGTTTGAGCAGTGATAATACACAGTCTTTAGTGTTTCAGACAATTTAAAAGAGTAGTCTAAGGAAGAAAATAAGACTGCTTTGACTGGCCAATTTAAAAAGAAAAACCAATGCCAGCTGCCAACTGCCAGCTGTCTATGCACACTTTTAATCCCAGCACTCGGGAGGCAGAGACAGGGGACTCTCTGAGATTGAGGACAGCCTGGTCTACAGAGCAAGTAATATGACAGCCAGGGCAATGCAAAGAGCCCTGTCTTGAAAACAAAACAAAAACAAGTGAACAAAACGAAATGATAAGATCATCACATTAATTATTTTGAACTGGCAAGCTTTTGTATTTTGACATTTTATAATCAATTTCTGATTGCACAAATGAGTATAATTTAGATATATCTCTTTCTTGCCAGATTAAAGTAGTAATTTGGTCATTTTGTGCTTTTTCAGCCTGAATAGTCTTCCTGGATCATCAACCCTGCTCAAATTCATTATAAAAATTTCCCCGTGCCGCTTCCCATGAGAAGACACCACTCCAGAACCCAGGCCCCAGGGCAGAACATACCAGTACCACCAGGGAGAGGTGAGCTGGCTGTCACATAAACCAGCAGTTTAACAGCTACATTTATGCTTTGCCTGGCAAACAAGCTGCCCATTCTCCATTATAACTCGCGAGCAACAGGCACGTTGAAAAGCAGGTTCTACCAGCACACAACACCCTCTACTTCTTGTAGCCAGTTCACGATAAATCTCTTACCTTGTCGGAAGATGGAAGAGCAGCAGGCTCGTAACAGAATGAGCGATGCGTAAAATGTTCCCCAGCTGACTTCCCGCGGGATTTATACTTCCCAAACCAGGGACACCTCTGCCTTCGCAGATGGAATGCTAAGTGATACAGGGAAACAATCAAGGTGTGAGGAACAGCTTTGCTTTGGGTTTTTTTTGTTTTGTTTTGTTTTGTTCCTTTTTCTTTCAACTCAGAGATCCAGAAGAGGCTGTCCCGTAAACACGCCAACAAGCGAGCGTGAGCGTAGAAGCCGTGGTACAGATTCGACGGGATATAGAGTTTGAGGATGAAGGTTGGTGATGGGCTCCTGTCTTAACTGAGCTGGTATAAATAACGGGTTTGCTTTCCTTAGAAACGGACAGGATGTTACACTCACGTCAGGAATTTAAGAAGGAGACTTTCATATTACATGATAAAAACATTTCACCAAAATACTTTTAGCTGAATCTAAGCTACAGATAAAAGTTCAAACAAAGATACTTTTTAAATAAAATGTACCAAAGATTCTTTTTTTTATAAAAAAAAAAATCTAAAAACACTGAATGAGACCAACTTCTATGCTTATTGAATTTCCACACTTATTTGTTTGGCAAAGTTACTGCATTTTTTAAATTTTTTTTGGAAGTAAAGGGGTCATGTCATACTTGTTTCCAATCTAAAATTAGTCTCTGTTCCTTGGGCCATATTTCCTCCGGCACAAGAAAGAAAATCAATGTCCCTACTCACCTTTGGAAGAATTTCACTGCCGAGTCTCCACGGTTCTGTGGGATCCAATAATCTGTGGCTCAGCATCGATTTTTCTGTGACACCCTGTAGAAACAAGCCTCTCCTTCCTTTCTAACGAAATACAGCGGCAAAGACTGTGTGGTTGCTCAACGAATTAAGCGTATGGGCTCTTCAGCACAACTTGCACTTCTAAAGAGACAGGGTTTATATTTTCTGAAGCTGTTAACGCTGCATGCTTTTCGCTGAACCACTTAGCCACCATTTAAAGATAATGTGAGCATCTATTTTGAAGAGAATTGGAAGGTAATATTTTTCTTAGGATTCTCACAGTTAATTCATACCACCAGTAACACTTTCTTTTTTCCTGAGGAAATAGATAAATGAGCAAAAAGTCAAAGTACAAGTCTCAGGTTTGTTTGTTTGTTTTTTTTTAAACACAGCTCCCAAATCGAGTTGTTTTCAATATGTGAAAAACTAGCCTCATGGTTTTAATATTTAAAACTTGGAAGCTTGGTGAGCTACAGAGGGTCTGGGAAGGCCTGGTTTGGAGTGTGTCAAATTCTAGGAGACAGGGGTTGTGTTTTAAGGCTGAAGTTCCCCTTACCCCCCTTCTCTTGGTGGCCTTATGTGCATGAAAAGAAAAACACAGACAGTGATTCATGTTTCCAGCGTCCTTCACGCACCCGATTGAAATCTCAGGGGTATCTCAATGACCCTGGGCAGACTTCTCTGGACAGGTCTGGAAATGCTCCCCCGCTCCCTGGAGGCAGCCTGGGCAGGGTGCAGGGCTGCTGTTCATAAGCCACATCCTCCCTTGACTCTGCCAGCCTGCGAGTCTGCAAAATCAAAGTGCGGGATTCGCAAAGGCGCCCCCTGTCCCGCGCCCCACTTCATTTGCGCTCCCCAACAAAACAGAGGGAGGAGAGCACAAGGCAGGTTGCTTCTCCTGAGGAAGGTGACATCTTGGTTAAAAAAAATGACATGGCCAGGCAACGCTCTGACAGGTTTAGTGCTAAGACCTGACAGACATAAGCCTGCAAGAATCTCCCTGCCACACATAGTTAAGCTCACGCGAAACCTTTGATTTGATCACCCCTTGATTGGCTTTTGCTGCACTCAGTGCTAACCCTTTGAAGCTCATTATAAATGACGCTACTCATCCCATTATCGCCAATTTAGGATCCGCTTTACTAGAGATGTCGTCATCTCAACCATTCATCAAACCTGTGCCCGATTCTCAGTTCAAGGATTAGGCCAAGCCACTACTCCAGTTCTCAAGGCAGGAAGCTCCAATGTTTATCAGGCCATGTCTACACTGGCTGAGCAAAGCGCTCGGTTCAGAAGGAGAAGCGCCTTTGGCAGCTAGAGTCCACATAGCTGACCCATGGACGATCGCGGGGCGCTCCTTCACCTGATTACCCAAGTGGAATGAAGTCGCTAAGCGTCACATGAGGGTGACCCCAGACAGCGAGAAAGCATGACGTGGCTGTTGCTCTGATTTATTTACAGGGCAATCGTCTAGCGTTCTAGTCAAGAGGCTAGAAGAACATGTGTACATCTGGCACACAGGATGGCTATCAATACGGAAGCAAGTCATGGCTCTGTAGTGAGCTTGACCGTTCTCCATCTTTCTAAGCAAGACAGCAGTGGCACCATCTTTCCTAAGTAGTTAGAATTAAGTTCAAAACCCTACCTCTTTATTTATAAAGAAAATTCTTCACAAAAGACAATGCTGATCTTTAAAAAAGAAAGAAAGAAAAATGGGACAAAGGTGTTAATATTTGGGACTCAATATTTATACTCTGTGACTTGTATGGTCAAGAATTAGTACCCTGCGTCTGGATACATTCTATTCTGGTGGCGGGGCAGCCTAGAATTGTCCCGAGTGCTGAGATTCTTTCCAATTTTTAGAATAAAAAGAGGCTTAGCAGAAATGTTCTACTAATAGCTATAAAATTATAGGCTTCCCCTTTCACCCACCCAAACACACTCCACCCTGTGACATAACAGATATAATGCAAATCGCCTTTGGAATTTTGCCAACCTTTCCCATTGGTGAGCTGGCAGAGTTGGGCCAAGCTTCCTTAAAGGCATAAAGCATGCTTAGCCCCATGAAAGCCTAAGTAATCCCGGAATCCAGTCTGATTCTTTAGCAAAACAGAAGTGAAGACTTGTATCTGTGAAAATCTATCAAATCTGTAAGTGATTGGATGACCTACAGTATCTTCCCAAGATGAATTGTCAAAACAAAAATGCTCTATCATGGCTTCCTAATCACTTGACCTTTGCAGATAGGAATACATCCCACTTTCTAACATGTCAAGATTCACAATTTCGTGTGTATGTGAGCTCATGCTCACCTCTGTCCGAGTCTACAGAGGTTAGACACTCACATTAGATCCCTTCCTTGATCACTAGCCACCTTAGTTTGGAGAGAGGGTCTCTCACTGAGCCTGGAGCTTACTAATTTGACTAGACTAGCTGATCAGCAGTCTCAGAGATGCCCCTGTCTGCCTCTTCATCACGAGGATGCAGGCACAGGTCCCACACCACCATTTTCCGTGTGCTCTGGGCATCTGAACTGGGGTATTCGAGTTCACATAGCAAACACCTTGTTGACTGCATCACCCGCCCAGATCAAGATTCAGACTCTCACAATAAATTTTCAGTCTCTCTGATTTCAGTTTGAAAGTCATCTGATTTATATGTGAAGTTAAATCCCTTTCGACTAAGGGCAAAATTGTAATTTTACCCAGTGACATGCAACATGTTGGTTGATCACCTTTCCACTCACCATTCCAATGAGATAAAGCTTCTCAAGCTTCTTAATGCTGTGGCCTTTAATACAGTTACTCATACTGTGGGGATCCTCACCATGAAATTATTTCATTGCTTTTAATACAGTTCCTTATATTGTGGTGACCCCCAACCGAAAAATATTTCATTGTTTTAATACAGTTCCTCATGTTGGGGTGAGCCCCAATCATAAAAATATTTCATTGCTTTAATACAGTTCCTTATGCTGTGGGGACCCCCAACTGTAAAATTATTTCATTGCTACTTCATCACGGCAATTTTGCAGCCGTTATGAGTTGTAATGTCAATATCTGATATGCAGTATATCTGCGATCCCTGAGGGGGGGTTTCGACCCTCAGGTTGAGGATCACTGTCCTAGATGATCTCAAAATTGTCCTAGTCACTGAAGTGCATCTAACAGAAGCTGCATTTTCATCTTCTCCTATATAAAGTCCAGAGAGCTTCCGGATACCTAAAGCCTCCATCACAGTCAGCACCATCACCACATGTGTGGAGCAGATCATGAGGCTGAGAGGGAAGCAAACACCTGTACAGTGCACTTAACTCCATAGCAGGCACTAATCTGCATCCACAACCTCTTCAGCTCCACAACAGCCATGTAAAGTGGGCACAATTACCCTCTCTCTACAGACCAGACAGAGTCACAGAGGCAGCAAGTCATTCGCCTGGGATCACACAGCTTCCAGGTGGTGGAGCTGGGATTTTAATGCAGATGGCGCAGTTCCTGCAGCGTCTATGCTTATACTGCATGGACGTGTACGGGTCTGAGCCATGCATGGGTCACTGCACTGCAATCTCTCGATTCCTGGAGACTTAGACCAAAAGGTGATCTCTTTGTCCTGGCTGTTTTCTGTCTATCTGAATGTAATCAATTGGCTTGGAACTAAACTTGACTCTGATCTGCCCTGTCCACCCGGATTATCTGCCTATTTCTCATTCATGTAAAAAAAAAATGACTGAATAGAATCCTTGAGAAGACCATTAACCTAAATGTCACCTATGGAACCAGGTTCCCTGAGGTTGTATCCTGGCTCTGTCTTTGTAAACTGAATGTGTGATTTTATTTCTTCATGAATTGACTTCCTTGCCTACAAAATACAAATAAAAACAACACTCTTGCCGATAATCTATGCTAAATACTTAACCCAATGCAGGGTACCTTGGCGAAGACTTAATTTATGTGCCTAAGCCACCAGTGGGATGACTACCCAAAGCTGTCTTTGGTAAACAAAAGCAGTACGCATTTTAGAAAATACAGATGTGAGCACAGGAACAACATGGCTTTAAAATCTGCAGTCTCAGTCATAGTCATACATAATTTAGTCTGCTTCCACTTGCAGGAACATAGGCATATCATGGACTATGTCAGGATCACCTAAGGATGCCAGCTAATCTCACAAGCAAGTGGGAGCCCCGTCACTAAGGGAAGGATAGGTTCGAAGTACTGTGATAATGGTTGGCTTAATTGTATTTTTATATCACAAGCCAGATCTCAACACGTAGTCACACAAGCCCATTTTGTCTGGATAGTTATGACATAATTTTATCAACTATCCAATCTGAGGCTGGGGAAACTCTCTGTGTTTCCCTCATATCTGTTTCTCCTTTTTTCTTGAAACCCTGAGCAAGTGGTCCTCAACCTTTCTAATGCTGTGACCCTGTTATACGGTTCCTCATGTTGTGGTGACCCAACTAATCATAAAATTATTTTTGTTGCTACTTCTTAACTGTAATTTGGCTGCTGTTATGAATTGTCATTCAAATATTTTTTTGGAGAGAGGGGTTTGCTAGAGGTGTCAAGATCCACAGGTTGAGAACCACTGCCCTAAGTGTTTACCCTTCTTTGAGGCCACTTGATGTCTTAAAAAAGACTGCCTAGGAACCTAAAACAATTTATATCCCAAAATAAGAATCGTACAAGTTTTAGCAGAAACTGGTAGGTGCGGTGCCCATTTACATGACATTACAGTATGTGAGACACAAAGAAAATAGAATAGACTAAAACTTCTTTCCCTTTAGTTATGAAATGGACGTCACCACCAGAGAGCATGAAAAGCTCAGAGGCCCAGCAGGAGACCCAAAGAGAAGCTATTCTGGGTCACTCCCCCAGGATGCACTGGGGTGTCTATGTGGCCTGCTTGCTATGGGATGAGACAACCAATTTCTGGTATCCAAGAGGCTGACAGTGAGAGGCTCCTACACTTCATTTTGCCTGCCTCAGAGACCAGACATTCTCTGATATACCCAAGGGAAGGGAAACCTTGATGTACAAAGCAGCATCTTGGTCCAGAATTATGGTTTTGATGAAGGGATACATGAGCAGCCCCATTTGAGAGGAGGGTAGAAAAATAGATGGAGACACAAAGACCAGCCAGGCTCCGTTTTGATCCTCTAGGCATGTCTGCGCTAATTCTTCCCCACAACATCCAGACCTCTCTTCAGATAGAAGGGACCTGTCCCCTCACGCTCTAGGAGACTCTCATTGCGAAAAGAGGTCTTGTGAAATGAGACTCAGCCTCTGCTTTTCGAGATGAGGATGGCGTGTCCCCAAGGTAGCCAGCTGCCAATCACGGGCAGGTCTAAAGTTAGAACCCTTGGGAGGTCAAGAGCAGTTGAAGTCTTAGAAAAACATTAAATGTCCTGATAAGAACTCGACACAAATGTCTTAACCTAGCAAGACAGGACAGCCAGCATGATCTCCTGGGAATCATCTATAGGGCAGAAAGAAGTAGCCATTCTCAGGTGATGGGCAGCCAAGATGACGTGCAGAGACGTGCAGAATGAGAAGCTGAGCCATCCAGGATGGTCTTGTACTTGTTAAGATCAGTCATCTGTACAGACAAAGGATATCATTGTTTTGGCTTTGAGATGATGTGAGCGGAGGCTCTAATTTTCTACCTCTCAGCATCTTTAGGCCATGTACATCATGGCCTTTATTAGTATCTTCCAAAACCCCTGCTATGTGCAGCTCCAGATGAGGCAACTTCATGAATCCTCTCCCCTGGGTCCTATCTCCTCACCCAGCCTCACAAGACCATTAAATGTGCTTTTCAGTTTTTCTTACCAAAAAAATATATATATAAATCTTACTTTCTTTTTGGAATGTCCATCTTTTTCTTATTACTACATACTTGGAAACCATGGAAAGAATGCCTTTTGCAAATTTTAACCGGTCGCTTGTTTTAAAGATTCTATTTATTTTACACCATATAACAGCTTCAGAATAACCTATATAAACACCAAATATGTAGGTGTTCATACGCGTTTGGATATATGTGTCTGTATATGCATGTCCCAGTATGTGTGTACGCATGCCCCTGTGTATGTGAATGTGTGTGTGTATGTGTGTGTGTGTGCCTGTCTGTACATGTGGAAGTTCAAAGACATCTCATATCATTTCAAGGCAAAAATTAGCCTTGACCTCATGAAATAGACTAAATTTGGATGGCTAGTGAGCCCCGCAGTTCCTCTTGTCTCTGCCTCCTCCATAGTGTGACCATAACCAAGTGCCGCCATACCTGGCTTCTCATTTTCTAACATGGGTTCTGGGGATGGAAGAAAGGTTTCCATGTTTGCAAAGCAATGACTTTAGTGACTGAACTATCTCCCCGGCCCACCAGAAGAAACATTAAAAATCACCGAGGGGGCGAAGAGGCTCCGCTTACCTATGGCCCTCCTCCCTGGCCACTCCCTGGGCCTGTTCCCATTTCTCATTATTCATTTTTTATGATTCCACGCACAAATTCAACCCAGGTGATTTGACTCTTAACAAAATGAATGTGAATTAATTCTGGTCATACATTTTAATGAGACAACACTTCAGGAGCCCTCAGACGTGACAGATGCAAAAGTCACCTCTTTCGCGGCTGATACCGGAATTCCTTTTCTGAAGAAGTCTTGCTTGGTTTGCCTCTGCTACTTTGCCACTCGGAAACCATTTGCACAGGAGCAAAGTCAGAGGAGGGGAAGGGCCGAGCTGCCAAGTGTCCAACATCCTCACCCCAATGTCACTGCCACACACCTCTCATTTCCCTTTGTTCTAAGTTTTAAGAAGTCCTATAGTGTGACATCAAGCTTGATCTTGTCATTTTGCCTGACTGTTCAAAATTATGCTAAACCCTAGAATGATGGCAGGATTTCATTATACGTTCTCTCTCTCTCTCTCTCTCTCTCTCTCTCTCTCTCTCTCTCTCATTAAATGGTAGAGTCATATTTAAAGAATGACGATTTCTAGGGCCACTCATTCAATTCTTTAAAGACTGATATCATGTTAAAATTTCATTCCCCTAATCTTCTCCAATTCTATTCCCGCTCTACTTGACACGCCAGGAATAATTATCAGGGCTTAATAAATACAGAAGACATTTCTTTTTAGAATTCCTGAGCAGAGAGGCCCAGTATTGCTTTGTTGGCAGCTTTGCACTAGCTGGCAATTTGCACGTGCAATCAGCAATCCCTCATGAAAATGGAGAAGTTCTTCTGCACCGTGTTTTGGTTTCTCTAGCTGACGGTGGCTTCCCGGGGACCATCCGTTCCTTACACATAATTAATAGCCCACGCTTGACTTCCTCGGAGATGTCCCTCACCTTCCCCTGCCACTGTGCAGATGAGCGTGTTCAAGGCAATGACTTTGCTCTGTCACATGTTAATGGCAGGTCAGCTTGTTTAAAACCCGGTTCTGATTAGAATGAAAAGCTGGTCGGGAAGCCTGTGTTCAGTTATCTCTTATTTTTCACTCCCCGGGAAAAGTGGGCACCGTCTGTTCTGTTCATCAGAAAAAGGCAGGGGGAGAAAAAAAATCTATTTTGTATCCAAGGTAAATGGAGAACTCTTGCCCCCGTATTTCCTTTCAATGCTTCCTATTGTCATACATGAATTAAAAAAAATAGTGATTACAAAAGGCCCCTGCCATGTCATGGTCTTGTTTCAACTCTGAATATATAAAACTGCATCCACACAAAACAATGCATTGGGCGGGGCTCTCCCATGGTGGGTACACTCTAAGGGAATATTGAGGATGACATCATTGGACACTGATCATAGAGATT